TACAGCTCTTCTTTTGTCTGGTGACATGTTGAAATGACATTTGTCGGTTAGGCCTGGCTAATGGTTTTTCCTGTGCCTGTGTTGGTGTACATGTGCTGCAAAGTTATACTTCATTGTAAATTTTTCCCCATATATTTAGAAAAAATTTTCCCCATGTATTTCCCCATAAATGAAGTTTTCTATCTGGTAAAGTCTAATTCACTAAGATAGTTCAAAGACTTTGAATAAAAAACAGAATGTAGGGTTAGCTCCATATTCTCTGTGGCAAAACTAAGAGATATTTCTATGGAGTTTATGCTTCCTCATGCTGCGTTCAAGGAAAGGGTTGGTGTCCAAACATGGTCACCATTTTCCCTTTATCTACGTATCAATTCAATCCCCACTTACAGCTTTTCATATTATCATTTTATACACGTTTTTACCTCACTTGATTTATATGTGTATATGTAAATCTCCTTTTAAGTTAAGAAAGAAATTATTACTATTTTATGGCCAAAACATAAGGATTAGCTTCTTCCTGAAAGTGTCATTGTAAATTTAAAGACCCACGAATTGGTTCCTCTGTTTTGGTTTTTCCCTTTAGTTTTTGCTTCTCTCAGCCATATTTTGTAGTTTCTGTGTACAGATCTTGCACATATTTTGTCAGATTAATCACTAAATATTTTATATTGTTTGAAGCTATTTACATTGTGTTTTTTTAAATTTTAAATTTCTAGTATCGTTTGTTTGTTGCTAGTATCTAGAAATACAAATGATTTTTGTATGTTGATCTTGTATCTTGCACCCTGGATAAACTTACTTAGTTATCTATTGCTGCATAACAAATTACCCCAGAACTTAGACTCTTGAAACAACAAACATTTTTTTTTTTTATGTCACAGTTTCTGGGGTCTAGAATGTAGGTGCTCCTTAGCTGGTGCCTCTGGCTCGGGGTCTCTCAGGAAGTTCTAGTCAGGCAGTACGCCAGGGCTGTGGTCACACTTGAAAATGCAGCTCATGTGGTTGTTTGCAGTCCTCAGTCCATCCGCACATGTGCCTCCCCACGGGGCTGCCTTGTGACGTGGCAGCTGGCTTTGCCCAGGGCTAGTGATTTAAGAGAGAGAGAAAATACCAAGGCAGAAGCCGTGGTCTTTTTATAATCCTTTCTCAGAAGTGATATCCCATGATTTTTGCCATATTCTGTTTACTGGATATGAGTCAACCCAATGCAGTCTACACTCAAGATCTGGGGACTAAAAACAGCGTGAATACCTGGAAGCAGTAATCACTGGAGGTCATTTTGGAGACTTCGTACCATTGTATATTAAAATGATGAATTATAAAAAATTAAGCCAACTTTGTCTCCCTGGGATTAATACTACTTTTTCATGATTTATTATTCTTTTTATATATTATTGGATTCAATTTGTTAAAATTTTTTGCATCTAGGGCCGGCCCCGTGGCTTAGCGGTTAAGTGTGCGCACTCTGCTACTGGCGGCCCCGGGTTCGGATCCCGGGCATGCAGCGATGCACTGCTTCTCCGGCCATTCTGAGGCCACGTCCCACATACAGCAACTAGAAGGATGTGCAGCTATGACATACAACTATCTACTGGGGCTTTGGGGAAAAAAAAGGAGAAGGATTGGCAGTAGATGTTAGCTCAGAGCTGGTCTTCCTCAGCAAAAAGAGGGGGATTAGCCTGGATGTTAGCTCAGAGCTGATCTTCCTCACCAAAAAAAAAACAAAATAAATAAAAAAATTTGCATCTATATTTATGAAAGACCTTGATCTGTAATTTTCTTGTACTATTTTTGTTTGGTTTTGATGTTGGAATGATGTTAACTTAATATATGAGTTGGGAAGTGGTCCCTCCTCTTCAATTTCTTGGAAGAGTTTCTGTAGAATTGGTATTTTTTTCCCTTAAATAATGCCTTTACTTCACCACTGGTGCTATCTGGCCCTGGAATTTTCTTTGTGATAAAGTTTTTGGCTACAAATTTAATTTCTTTAACAGACATAGGCCTATTCAGGTCATCTACTTCTTCTTCTTCTTTTTTTTTCTTTTGGTGAGGAAGATTGGCCCTGAGCTAAAGTCTATTGTAAATCTTCCACTTTTTGCTTGAGGAGGATTGTCCCTCAGCTAACATCCGTGCTAGTCTTCCTCTGTTTTGTATGTGGGGCCCCTGTCACAGCACAGCCGACGAGTGATGTGTAGGTCCATCCGGGATCCGAACTGGTGAACCCCAGGCTGCCGAAGCGGAGTGTGCAGACTTAACCACTACCCCACCAGGCTCGCTCCACATCTCCTTCTTTTTAAGTGAGCTTTGGTAGTTTTTGTCTTTCAAGGAATTTGTTTCATCTAAGTTGTTGAATTTATTGGCATAAAGTTGATCATAGTAACTGTAGACCCTGTAGCGATTTCACTTCTCTCGTTTCTGATATTGGCAATGTATGTTTTTTACCCTTTTGTCCTTATCAGTCTGGCTAGGTGCTTGTCACTTTTTTTTGATCTCTAAAAACCAGCTTTTGGTTTCATTGATTTTCTTTGTCATTTTCATTTTCTGTTTCAGTTATTTCCACTCTGATATTTATTCATTATTTTTATTCTTCTGCCTATTTTGGGTTTCAATTGTTCTTGTTTTTCTAGTATTTTAAAGTGTAATCTCATTGCTTTGAGACCTTTCTTTTTTCCTACCATGTGCGTTTAGTACTATAAATTTTTCTACAGCAAAAATACTACTTTAGCTGCATCCTGCCATTTTGATATTTTGTGTTATTATTTTCATGTAGTTCAAGATACTTTCTGATTCCTCTTTTGCATTATCTAGTTTCCGAATATTTGCTGTCATACTTATCTTTTAAAGTGCTTCTTTTTCTCTGGCTTCTTTTTAAGATATTCTCTTTATCACTGTTTTTTTTTTTTTTTAAATGTTTTTTCACACTACCTTTTTAAAAAAAATTTTTTTTGAGGAGAATTGGCTCTGAGCCAACACCTGTTGCTAATCTTCCTTCTTTTTTCCTTTTTTCTCCCCAAAGCCCCCGTAGATAGTTTTATGTCATAGTTGTACATCCTTCTAATTGCTCTATGTGGGACGCTGCCTCAGCATGGCTTGATGAGTGGTGTGTAGGTCCGTGCCCAGGATCTGAACTGGCAAACCCCGGGCTGCCGAAGCGGAGTGCACAAACTTAACTGCTTTGCCACCGGGCCGGCCCGCTTTGTCCCTGGTTTTAAGCAGTTTGATTTCAACATGCCTTTGTGTCATTTTCTTTGTATTTCTAGTGCTTGGGATTCGTTGACTTTTCAGGCCCATGTGTTTATTATCTTTATAATTCAATTGCTTCAGTGGTGGGGATGGTTTCACATTCACATCACATCTATTGCCTGTTGCGTTCACATCCTTAAGAGGAACACATAAATCTTGAAAAATATTGAGTGCATCTAATCTAATTGTGATAAATTGTTAGTTTTTGATCATGAGTAGAGAACTCTACCTTGAGTCTTTTAAAGACATTTTCAGCAATTTTGTGGTGATAAAAAAGCATGATGATATCTTTCTTATTTGACTTGATTATAATTCAGCCTGTACTTAGTAGCTGCGACACACTCTTAGGACAGAGCTGATGCTTAATGCTTAATTAAATTGTTTTTGTTTCAAAAACTTGAGAGAGTTTAACTTAATTGTATGTACTTTCTTATTCTAGTGGCTTTTAAAAATTACGTTGTTAGATGTGTTTATTATACAATTCAAACAATACAGGGGTATATAAAAAATTAGTAATCTTACCCTTTACACATTCAATTCCACATGTCTGGAGGTATCTGAGGTTAACAGTTTAATGTGTTTCCACCTGTACCTTTCACTGTGCTGATATATACACATACAAATATCTATATCTATTTCTGTGTCTGTCTGTCTGTATCTATGTATATCTATCCATACACATAGATACATTTATTCCCCATATGGAATCATCCTGTACATATTACTTAGACACTTTATATTTTTACTTGAACAATATGGGATTTTCTTAACTATCTTCTGTTTTCCTGCTTTTTTAAATAGAGATGTGGAAACTTTTTACAAGAAGAAAAAACTTTAAAAGCAATTTCAGAGTTATCTTTTCTCTAGAGAGAATCATAAAGTTACCTAGCTTTACAGACAAGCTAGAGACTGTAAAGTTATTTAATGAGAACAACAAAGTCTCCAGAGTATAGGGAGAACTAAAAGGTTAGAACATAAAGTGGAAACCAAGGAGCAAAAGTCGGAGAGACTAAAATGCAATGAGAGAGTGGTGTGGGTTGTGCAGGGAGAGAAGGAGTGGAGAAGTTGGGAAGGAAATAGGGATCCAGTGGAGTAACGTAAATAAAATTTTGAATTGAGTGGTATTCACTGTTTTCCTTTTACAGTATTATTCCTTTCCATCCATTAGTTTCAGTATTAGAAAAAACAGTGTTTTCGATTTTTCCATATCTCTAACCGTTAGCCTTTTGTGTGCTCCATTCCAGTTTGGAGATGAAATCAAGATGGGGACAGATTGTAAACATATATGTTCAAGCATAAAATGTTTGAAGAACGTAATGATCTTTCTCTCGAGCCGTGTCAGCTGCTTCCATGGTGACCCATCAGTTAAAATGCCCATCTGATTTAGCTCCACTGATTTTTTTTTTATTAAGGCAAGTTATCCAACTTTTTAATGATTCAGGAATAATCCCACTTTCAGTCATTTGGTAAGACTTGTGGTAGAGTTCAAGAACTACCTGAGGGCACTTGCAGTCTAAGCCTAGAGCTTCCTGTTTTGAGGACCACATTTTCAGTGTCAGCCCTAAGTGAGTACAAGCAGAATGATTATGAGGAATTGTACATATTGCGATTTAAGCTGTGGTATAGCTTTTAGGATGTGGCCTTTTTGGGTATTTCCTGAAATTTAAATTGGCATGCGTTGTAGAATTATAAATCAGCATGTTTAGTGTTATCAAAGTTTCAGTGGATGTTACTTCTTTCTTTTTTTTTTTTTCCAGATATGTGTCACAAAGATGTCCACACGGAACTGCCAGGGAATGGACTCAGTGATCAAACCCCTGGACACAATTCCTGAGGATAAAAAAGTCAGGGTTCAGAGGACACAGAGCACTTTTGACCCATTTGAGAAGCCAGCTAATCAAGTGAAGAGGGTGCATTCCGAGAACAATGCTTGCATTAACTTTAAGACCTCCTCCACCGGCAAAGAGTCGCCAAAAGTCAGGCGGCACTCCAGCCCCAGCTCGGTGAGTGCAGTCTCCTCACTACTCTGTGGATAAACAGGAGGATCCCTCTCCTAAGAGCAGCACGCTGTGCTGGAAGACAGCAGGTGGCTTTATCAGCGCATTATTATGCATTCTTTCCCAGGGTGGTTTGATGTTTTGGAAGAGAGCGAGAGAGAGCAAACTATATAGACTCTCTTTATTCGTAAGCGCCCAGCAAGCAAATGAGACATGATTCAACTTATTTTTGGAAAAATCATTTTTTTCTGGTTGTTTCCTGTTAGAAGGATTTGTAATTAAAAGTCCTTTGGTATTTCAAACCCTTGGAGAGGATATTGAACTTTACTGTGTTTGTGGACAGTAAGGATAGCTTTGAATTTGGCAAATTCACAAAGAAGTTCATTTCAGAATACATGTTGAAATTTGTTCACTTGTCTCATTCCAGTTTGTTTTCAGTGTAAATATTTTAAAGTTTAAGAGCTAGACATTGAAGTCATTCTTCTTAAGGAGAAATGCTATTCATCACAATGAAATTTTCTAAACTCAAACTATATCAAGGCAAGTCTTGCCATTTGACCTAAGGAGATATAAAGTTCTGAGCTGACTGCTGGTTTTTGACTGTAAAATTTTTACTGAAACTCATATTTCTAAGACTGGCCTGCATTTAACATTGTAAAAAAAACCCTTATCTTTTGAAATTAAGTAATTTTCAGATTTAACCTACACTTAAGAACTTTTTGACATAGATGCTCTAAAAATTTAAAAAGTAAAGGGTGAGGGGCTGGCCCAGTAGCGCAAGCAGTTAAGTGCACGCACTCCGCTTCGGCAGCCCAGGGTTCGCCAGTTCGGATCCCGGGTGTGCACTGATGCACTGCTTGTCAAGCCATGCTGTGGCGGCATCCCATATAAAGTTAGAGGTAGATGGGCACGGGTGTTAGCTTAGGGCCAATTTTCCTCGGCAAAAAAGAGGAGGATTGACATCAGATGTTAGCTCAGGGCTGATCTTCCTCACATACACACACACACACAAAAAGTAAAAGGAGAATGCTAGGAGAATTTTGATTCTGTCATCTTGCTAAGAAACACAGTCCATTTCACAAATTTTAAATATTAAGTTCCATGAGGGCCAAAACAGAACAAGAAATGTCAACTGCTAGAGGAATATTGACACTTCAGTTTAATTAAAGTGTGTGATAGTGCACAAATCTTGTGTACTCATTTTGTATATATGAAGCTGAAATAAATAGTATTAATGCAACATTTGTGAGGAGAATTGATTATCTGGTTTTCCCCAACTTGGCCTCCATCGTCTTGTCTTTGATTGCAAGATAACGTCCATTTAGCTCACAGATACATCACTAACTCCTGGGAGAACTTGTAGATTTAGTATCATTTAGAAGAAATGAAAGGAATTGTGGAGAATGATTAAGTCTATTGTTATAGAAAGAGAATTATATTTTTTTACTATATAATTATCTTACTGTTATTATATGTCAACTATGTATGATATATAGGAATCGGCATTTCAGATATTGCAACGAGGCATAATTACAGTAAAAAATTATCCGCTGTTGGGCCGGCCTGGTGGTGTAGTGGTTAAGTTTGCACGCTCTGCTTTGGTGGCCTGGGGTTCGCAGGTTTGGCTCCCGAGCGCAGACTGACGTACTGCTTGTCAAGCCATGTTGCGGCGGCATTCCGTATAAAGTAGAGGAAGTTGGGCACGCATGTTAGCCTAGGGACAATCTTCCTCAGCAAAAAAAAAAGAGGAGGATTGGCAGTGGATGTTAGCTCAGGGCTGATCTTCTTCACACACAAAAAAGAATTATTCACTTTATCTGAAATTCAAATTTAACTTGTCATCCTGTATTTTATCTGCAATCCTCGTTATTATCCACAGGTGCATTATTTCTTTTGTTGCTCAAATTGTTCCTGCTTTGGCCACTGGGAGCTCTTTTAGGTTGGCTTCTATGTCCTTTTGGGATGTCTTCGTCCCCCCCTTTTTTTTGCTGAGGAAGATTAGCCCTGAGCTAACATCCACTGCCTATCCTCTTTTTGCTGAGGAAGATTGGCCCTGGGCTAACATTCGTGCCCATCTTCCTCTACTTTATATGGGATGCTGCCACAGCATGGCTTGACAAGCGGTATGTAGGTCTGCACTGGGGATCTGAACCTTCAAACCCCGGGCTGCCAAAGCAGAGTGTGTGAACTTAACAACCATTGGGCCGGCCCCACCCCTTTGTTTTTTGAGCACTTCCTTATTTCCTGGTCCTACAAGATGCTCTTGGTTTACATTGTGTTTTCCCAGCCCCGGACCTAGAATCAGCTATTTCCCCATAGATCCCTGGTTCTTTTTATTGGAAAATGGTCATTAGAAACCAAGATTGGGTGCTGGGTGTGCTTGTTGCTACTGCGGGTCATGTAATTTTAAAAGTCAGTGTGTACATCATAGTATGATGATAACAATGGGATTTTGACATTTATTTTTAATAAGGAATTAATTACAATCCTTATCAAGGAAAGTTGAGGCTTGTCTGTCTGATACACTCTTCTTTCTCTCTCTTTAAAGTTAAGTTTGATTTTTATTAAAGTAATGCTTGAACATAGCTAGAAAAAATCAACTAAGAAAGGATTCTGGGAGGAGGGCAGTGGCATAGGTTTTGAAATCCCTCATATAATTAGAGCAAATAGTATAGTAAAACCAAAACCAATGGATGACATTGGCAACAATTGTAGGTGATAAGGTATCTTCGTGAACCTCAAAACAGGAGTGAGAGGAACAAACCATGAACAGTTTTAGAACTGTGTGGTATCAGAAAGTGTGGGGAAGGAAACTTAGCTAAGGCAAGGGGATTAGTGGCTACTCTCAGAGCCAGGAAACCCCCAAATTACTGTCGGGTATATACTAGGGGCTCATCTGGCCATTCTTAGGACGACAGCAACTGGGAGGGGACTTTGATGGCTCCTATGAGTGGATTAGGCAAGGAGACCATGGGATGGTCTACTGATATTAGAGTGATCTGTTGGTCTTGCTCCTGTGACTTCTCTAGAATGTCAGATTGAAGCAGCTTTCCAGGATAAAGCACTCTACTGAAGAGAAAGTGCTGGAGTAGACTTGTGTGCAGGGCAGGATCAGTAGGGGCAAAGGCAAGAGAAGGTCCAGTAAGAAGTATTGGAGTGAAACAGATGGGGAACCTCAGCGTGTGCGAGATTGTCATTCTTTTCACTTCATGAAAACAGAGAAAAGAACTTTATTCCATAAAGCTAGAAAAGCTATCTTAGCCGTACCCCTCTGAAACTACTGAAAAATTCATGTTACCTAAAAATAACCAATAGAAAAATTATTGGTTGAATCCTATACAAAACTATGGAAAAAAGAGAGCAGGGAATAGAACAACAACACCTCTACAGATAAGGAAAGAGGCTAGTAGGAGGTAAATTTATCGTTATTTGCAAATTTATGATGATATATCTGGAAAATGGAAAAGAACCAAGGGAAATACTACAAACAATGAGAGAAGTTAGCCAAATTGTTAGAAGTTAGCAGGTTGTAAAATTAACATGCAAAACCCAATAGAAACCCTTATAAAAACAAACAGGGGGCTGGTCCCCTGGCTTGGCGGGTAAGTGCGCTCACTCCACTACTGGTGGCCCGGGTTCGGATCCCAGGCGCGCACCGACACACCGCTTGTCTGGCCGTGCTGAGGCCGCGTGCCACATACAGCGACTAGAAGGATGTGCAACTGTGACATACAACTATCTACTGGGGCGTTGGGGGCAAAAAAAAAAAAGGAGGATTGGCGATAGATGTTAGCTCAGAGCCGGTCTTCCTCAGCAAAAAGAGGAGGATTAGCACGGATGTTAGCTCAGGGCTGATCTTCCTCACAAAAAACAAACAAACAGGAATCAGTGTTGAAAACTGATAAATAAAGCAAATGACTAAGCATTTATTTTCTGTGATTCCTATATGAAATTTACCTCATGGTAATCTAGTCGTTGATGAGGGGAAAATTCTCTTTTAAAAGTAATCCCACTAATAAATCAAGAAAGAATAATAGATTTAGGAATCACCATTTGGCAACCCCTGATGTATTAATACATCTAGGCAATGATTATCAATACCTGCTAGCATCACCAAAAGAGAGAGAGCCAGACATGATGACGTCCTGATGGAAATGTACGAAAATCGCCAACAGAAGTAAGCCTGAATCTGAGCAAGCCTCTAGATAGAACTACCGATTTACAGCGTACAAAGGAACACATCAAGAAAGGATTTTCTCTGTTATATTCCTATCCTCAAATACATGTCCCCTACTTTTTGGCTTTAATTAATATACAGTATTTACAATCTTATGATGATGTAAATACTGTTCATAGTGAGGCCACATAGTGTACTGTGGTTAAATTTCTTTCCTTGCATGACTTTTTGATTTTCCTAGTCATAATTGCCTGCCCTTTTCACTAGTTCATAATTAATGTAATTAATTAATAGAATTTTAGTCACAAATTGAGGCCTCAAACTATTTGATAAAACTCCTCTGAAGCAAATCAGAATCAGGTGATCTATTAGTTTTTCTTCCCCCTGAGATTGTCCTTGTGGTTCTCCATTGTCCTAATCCATTCTGAACTGGTTGATCTCCAAATTGTGGTCATTCGTCCAAAGCAAAATTACCAATCTATTTTTTAGGATATGTAAGCCTAGCTGCTATTGTTCTGAGATGATTAAGAAGGGGCCAGGGCCTCCTAGTTCTCTATTCACAGTTTCTTGTGCTTTGTTTTCAATCTGACTCTTCACCCTGATTTCCGCTGTGCTCAGTGTCCCAGTTCTGAGCCTCTCTGGTTCCACCTCTTCAGAGAATAAACCTCTGCCAGGATCAGGGTGGTGCAGACACCTGACTGGGAGAGTCTAGGGGAAGCTACCTGGTCCTTAAATCCAACTAATCATTTTGATTTTAGCCCATCCTTGAAGTTCAGCCTCCAATTCTTGAGTGTTTCTGGGATTCTGAAGCATAAATTGACATTTCTTA